AAGTAAACTTTTACACACAAAAAACAATTATTAGAAAATTAGTCAAAGGGATCCGGTTATAAAAATTATAAAATCGTGCACTAAATATGTAGCGAATGTACTTGATACACTGATACACTGACACACACACACAAATTTTACTGTTATAAAAACTTATAAATAATATTACAATTAATTATCAAGGAAAATGCCTTTTCAAATGCTAATCAAAAACAAATTCAATTTTATTTTTAATATATTTAATTGATTATACAATTTTGCGAAAACTTATTTAATACAAATAAAAACAAATATATAAAAGCTAAATACATTTTATTAAATGTATATAATATTTAATATAGTATTTAAACTGAAGGGTAAATTTAAATTGCGATTAGAAAAAAGTACTAAATTTAATCCAATTTAAAGGAAAGTGTTATTAACTGTAGGAAAATGTCTCATATATTATAAACTCATTAAATAATTAACAATGTAAAATGTTATAAAATATTTGTAAGTTTTTAAATTAACAATTAATAGTCAGTCAATAATTTTATACAAAATATTATTTTAAGAATTTCAATATTGTTCATGGCACTAAAATGTTACCTAGATTACATGCGACATTCAGTTACTATTCGTGTAATATATTTATAAAACTACACTAAAGTGTTTATTTACCCAATTAATATTAAACTATACTAAATAACAAAAAATAAAACTCCAAATTTAAAGTAACTAAGTGTAGACTATACATGTATGGAAAATACAAACCGATTTAAAATTTATTTAAAATTTATATTTCTGTTAATAGTCTTAATTCTAAATGTTTCGACAACTCCTTCATAGGTTGTTAACAGTTTAAATTAAATCGTGAAGTATTTTAATTAGATTGATCTAGATATTTTATTTTTAATTCTCACCATTGATTACATTTGTATAATTAAAATTGTATTATTAGTCAATTGTCTACTATATAAATATTATGTTTTGTATGGTTTCAAAATATCCCCTATCATACACACAGTCACATAGTCACATAGTTCATGTAAGCGATGTATAAATCACGTGCTAAAATATTAAAAATATTGGCCTAGGGAAACTGATTAAAAGATTATTAACAAAAAACACACATTTTCAAATGAATTTATATTAGACAGTCTATAATTATAGTGTATTGCATACAATATATTGCAATATAAAATATAAGTGCATAATAGATATATTTAGTACAACTAAGAATCTGAATAAAATGTATAAAATTATTTTACACTTAAACCAAAAATCTTTTTATTCTTTAATATGGTCATTAATAGTAATAAAAAACTTGCATTAAGTCACAAATAGTGTATTAATATACTGTAGTAGTCGGCAAGTATTGCAACTTAATCAATAATTATTACATAAGGGAAAATACTGAAAGATACTTCAGTGTATATAAAATATATGACTGTGTATGAAAGTGTAGTGAAAACACATTGACTCTAATGAACGCACAGGTGTGCACAGGTATGCCATTCAAATGTATAATTATTATACTCATACAGTGTATAAGTAATTCAATTAAACTTGGTTTTACATATAAATTAACTTTCGATCCGAATTGAATTTAATAGTAAGTAATTATAGAGAATATCCCATACAGTGTGTAAGCATTTATTAATTTCATTAATGTAATGTTATAAGTTTTATTATCAATGAATTACATCTTATTTTAGTAATACATTCCCGTAAGAATAAAATTTTGGATTTTTATATAAAATATTTTCTAAGTTTTGTAATCATTTTTTGGTTTTTCTACTCTAAATAAAATGTGAATTTGCTATAAAACTCGTTTTTAAGCTCTCTCTCTCTCTCTCTCTCTCTCTCTCGTTATTTGAATTAATAATGTGTTCATTCAATCAGATTCTATTCATTTAATGGTTTAAATATCTGAGATTCATTTAAATTGAAAATCAAATTTCAAGTACAATTGATAATAAGTTACAATATAAATTATTTATCTAAATTTATTAATAAATTATTAAAATTCGTGTATATGTGATGTTTATAGTAAAACATTTTTGTAAAAAAGCTTTTTTTATGAAAATCTTAATACAAAATCAATGAATTTATGTCTCGAAATGAGGATAAATGAGTGCTTCATCTCCTAAACAGCCTGTGCTCCCATACTATACCCATTTCACAGCACACGAGTATACAGTATATGTGTTGAAGCACAGGTAGTTTGTGTTGACTACCTGTCCTCTCTCTCTCATACTCTCATTCATAGGCAAAGCAACTGATTGTATAGCATGTATATACCCGTGAATTGCTATTGACTGAGAGATAACAGAGTTTATCTAAATATCTCATCTTCTTTTCTCGTTACTACTATCGCGTGAAATAAAAAAAGTTTTCAAAGTTTTTAAAGTTTTGTTCAAATATTAGTCTTACGAACACTTCTCGTTGTTTAGTTTTTATGTTAAATATTTTTGTTTTAATCGCAAATATTTATTTTTTTATTACAATTATGAGTTCAATTGTGCTCTTTATGTTGGTCTCTATTTTCTTTTAATATTTTTTGTTTATTATTATTATTGTCAAAAAAATCTTTTAGCTACTCAATCGATACATAGAGTGCATTTGATGTGAGAGTATATTATTTGCCGCAAATATGACTAATAATAATAATAATAATAATGAGCCAAATGTTGCCAATTCTGGTCAACAGCACCAGAATAGTGGAGACAATAAGCTGTCAAATGAGGCGAAAATAGCCATAAATGGTGTGGAGTATATTAGAAGTGGTGGTGAAATGCGAGTCGACATCCAGGACACCCACACCACTGTCGATGACGAGATACCGGAAGAGGTGTGGGAACTGGAGTCGGAGCCCAGTGAGAAACCGGCCATTGACTGTCCCCAAGACATCACCAGAATCTCAGCGCAAGAATCGGATTACAATAACGACAAGACTAATAAGAAATCATTTACACTGTGTTTCGGATACAAACCCTCGCAGTTCAAGTGGTTTAACATATTCTGGTTGGTACTGATTCACGTGGTGGCCGTCTATGCCTACGGGTACGCCATGTGGTTCCCAATGAACATGTTTACCATCATCTGGACCGTAGTCCTGGCCTGTGGCTCGGGGTTCGGTGCCTCTGCCGGCTCGCACCGGCTGTGGGCGCACCGGGCCTTCAAAGCCCGCTGGCCTCTGAAGCTGTTTCTGGTGATCACAGAGACAATGGCCGTCAACGGGAGCTGTTTCTCGTACGCCAGGGATCACCGCAATCACCACAAGTTTGTGGACACGAATGCGGACCCCAAGAACGCCCGCCGAGGCTTCTTCTTCGCCCACATCGGCTGGTGGTGTGTGAAGAAGAACCCGGATGTCATCAAATGCGGCCAAAAGTTAACTCATAAAGACCTCCTCGAAGACACGTTAGTCATGTTTCAGCACCGGTTTTATTACCCGATGGTTGTGGTGTGGGGCGTGTTGTTCCCGGTGCTCGTGCCCTACTATGGCTGGGGTGAGGACCTGTTGACCGCATTCCTCGTGTGCAACGTCTTGAGGGTTGTCATCACTTTACACCATTTGTTTACCGTTAACTCTATCGCACATATCATTGGTATGTCTTTTTGTGGTTTTATTACTTATCGGATGATAATATGGTATTCAAAATGTGTGTTTGGTGTCGAATTTGTTGTGGGTTATTTTTAAAAATAAATCTTTTAAGCTTTTATTTAATTTTGTTTAAATAACACTTAAAAGTTATTCAATATGGGAATAGTGTTATAGGAATTGATATTAAAAAAGTCACATGGGTTGAATATTATATTATTATCCAATTTTATTGATAATTATTTTATGTCTATTTTTAGTGGCAATTATTGCTAATAAACAATAAATTAGTGATAAATACTATTCAATAACACTGTTCTTGACAATTAGACTTTACATCTACTATATTAAGTCAATGCTTGCAATTAGTTTAACAATTTTTCGTAAATATTTATCAAATCCTTTAATTGTTTTGTTATTGAACTTGATCATCGAGTTTTTATTTAGATTGTTACATAAATTATTTGTTTATATTCCAATGATTTAACGTCAACTATACCTTAATTATTAATATAATGAAACCATGAATTATTATAACTTAAAATATTACTATTACAGTATTGTTTTTATAGTACAAATCTTTACAAAAAAGTAAATAACCTTTTGTTTATTCAGAAAAAGAAAAGAAAAAAGATATCATTTTAAGTACATTAAAAGCTTTAGAAAATAAATTTCCATCAAAAATAGGTATTTTAATAGCAAACTGTGTGGTTTGTCCATCATTTGAGGGGCCCATACAAACCCGTGGGAAATACCAACAAACTTTTAGGTGAATACGGTTTATACCGGTTCCTCATAATTACAGTATTACTGTATTTTGAATATTGTTGACGGGATTACTGATTTCTAGTAGACATTCACGGATTCATCAATTAGGCCCTGAGCTAACATTACCTGTATTTCGGGTGTACTTTCACTCTCCAGTAGACATAACCTCACTGTCTATGACCTCAAATGTGTCCTCAATTTTTGCATATTTTTAATGATTACTATTTAGCGATTCATTTTTGCTCCCAAAGTTAAGGGCGTTTTAGACATAAATGTCAGAATTAGTGATTGAAATTGAAATTAACTTATCGTTGGCTCATATATTGAAGAGATCTTAAAAAGTGATTTTAATTTTATCAATATATTATACATGCAATCAATTGACCCAATATTAAGATCTTGAAATTTAGTTTTTATACTGAATATTGCATATTAATTATTTCGTTAGTGATATTTACCTTGATGATAAATGTGACAAATTAATATTTATGTAATTAATTAAATTGATGTCCCTTTTTTATTTGCTAATATACTCAATTGAAATATAATTTCTTAACGCTTTAATAATTTAATTGAATATGAATTTTTAATTTCATATTTAATTGAAGGTTTACCCCTATTTACCTCCAGTTCCCATATAAATATTGCATGTCTTTATTTGTATCAATGCTTTCACTGCAATACTTATCTAACTGTATGTGTGATAAAAGGCAATTAAATCATACATTAAATCATATATTTAATTAAATATTGTATTTAAATTTTAAAATGAGTTACTTTTTATTCATTTACGAGAATAATAGTCGGTAATAATTGTAAATAATAATTTGTGATTTATTGTGCTCGTAATAATGGCAAATAATTATAGTATTTATATTTAGAAAATGTAATTTTTATTAAGTTACTTTTTATTCATTTACGAGAATAATAGTCGGTAATAATTGTAAATAATAATTTGTGATTTATTGTGCTCGTAATAATGGCAAATAATTATAGTATTTATATTTAGAAAATGTAATTTTTATTACTCCAATGTCCTCTAAACAATATTATTTAAACGCCCATTAAAGTGTATGCCGGACTAATTTATTATTTTATTTTTGCATAATAAACGTTTAAGTTAATTTGTTTATTACGAGATTTTAATTTAGCAAATATGTTTTAATACAGTAATTTATTATGTATAAAGTTTTTACTATTTATTTATGTCTATGATGACCATTGTCTCAAGGATTTATTTTGAATTTGCAAAGTTTTAATATGTAAATATTTTGATTATAGTTTTAATGAGTACTGATTTTGTGTAATATTTAATTAGATTTAAAATACACTTTTGATTTTAGGTTTTAAATTAATGTAAGTTTCAATCAATATATTTATCTGTTTGATTATCGTTTTAATTTTGTTTAAAAGAAATAATTTTTGTTATTTATAAAGAATTTTAAAAATTATATGTCTGAGTTCACAATTATTCTATAACCATGCACCTACAAGACCTTGATTACTTATACTGAATCAATGTATCGGTAATTGGAAATTGTTTATCGATGTAGAACTGTTTAAATTTAAAATCCCCATAAATAGGTTATTATCTCAATTGACATCAACAAAGAATGTTTTAATTAATAAAAAATTTAAATAATTTACAAGGTTACTTTAATAACTATTGAATATTTAGGATGAATATTAACAAGTTATTTATCAAATTTTTAATTTATAAATATTTACACTGGTTAATAATTATCAATTGTTATTGAATGAACTGACATTTGAATGGATTGCCAAATATTATCAAATTTTTTATAATTTATTATTCTTTTGAGAAAATTAATTATTAATATATGACTGAAAACTAAATTATTTAAAATATTATTTTCAAAATGTAAAATAGTATTGCAGCATCATTTTCATTTGTTATAATTACCCTGACCACTATAAATACATAATTAATAGCTCTACTACCGAGGACAAAGTAAAATAAAAAGCTTTGTTTTACCATTTAAGCTTTATTAATTAAATATTTAGGGTAATTTGTAAGCATTTGTTTTTATATTAAAGCTTTGATTAATGAGTTACATAGATAGTGTACTATTTAATTTAGTAAATATAATTAACAGTATTAACTTTTAATACAATCACATAATTTAAATCCATTTAGATTAAATATATTTTGTTATTTTAGTGCTTTTATCAACATTTACGGCATTTAGTTTACTAAGATTTAGAAATACAGTATTATAAAGCTTAAAATTATAAAACATTAAATTGTTATTTTTAATTACCATTAATTCATAGAAATGTGTTTAAATGTTGCAATAAATACGGATTTAAAAATCTATAATTAATACAATATTTCAATAACAGTTTCCTAAATCTAATCTCAGATCTTCCTATCTTAATCTGATCAAGGAGAGTGAATATTAGTTTTTTGGGTGTCCACGGAAATGAGTGCTTAAAACCACAATTATAATTTAGCAATTAAATTAACATCGTACAGTTTACTTTTATCTCTTTTCAAATATTTATATAGAAAGCCCTGTTATTAAATACAAACCATAGTTAGAATTAAATATTTTATGTTTGACTTAAAATAAACCTTGGGGTTAAAGGATTTTAAAAGTTTATTATAATAAATCTTGCATCTCCTAAAAACACCTCCACTTAAGCCATGGACTTGACTATTGAATGTAAACATAGTGTTCATTGAGATAAACGGTTTTTCAATAAAAGGTCAGTTGAGATTGAAATAAATAAATAAAGATTGTGTTGTCTATATTAATAGTAAATCATTGTATAAATGCACGTTAAATGTGTTAATCAAATAGAAATAGAAATAAAAAATTAAATTATGATTTTTAGCCTAAACTCTTTGATAACTTTATTTCATTTGTTTTTATATGACTTACAATACGGTTATATAAAAAGCAATAAAATATGTGTAAATTATATATATTATACAATACCTAAAATGTATTTTAATAACAACAGCGGCTTTCCTTTGGCCTGATTTTGATGTCTCGAAAAAAATTAATTAATAAAAATAATATTGAATTGAATATTAATTATTATAATTTCATATTGAGTCTAAATCGCTTAAACCGATTCACACGACTAGAGTTAATACAGTTTTGGTAGGAATTAGTAATTATTTTCTAATTATTTTTATTTCAATACGGATTTAAAAATCTATAATTAATACAATATTTCAATAACAGTTTCCTAAATCTAATCTCAGATCTTCCTATCTTAATCTGATCAAGGAGAGTGAATATTAGTTTTTTGGGTGTCCACGGAAATAAGTGCTTAAAACCACAATTATAATTTACCAATTAAATTAACATCGTACAGTTTACTTTTATCTCTTTTCAAATATTTATATAGAAAGCCCTGTTATTAAATACTAAACACAGTTAGAATTATATATTTTATGTTTGACTTAAAATAAACCTTGGGGTTAAAGGATTTTAAAAGTTTATTATAATAAATCTGGCATCTCCTAAAAACACCTCCACTTAAGCCATGGACTTGACTATTGAATGTAAACATAATGTTCATTGAGATAAACGCTTTTTCAATAAAAGGTCAGTTGAGATTGAAATAAATAAATTAAGATTGTGTTGTCTATATTAATAGTAAATCATTGTATAAATGCACTTTAAATGTGTTATTTAAATAGAAATAGAAATTAAAATTAAATTATGATTTTTAGCTTAAACTCTTTGATAACTTTATTTCATTTGTTTTTATATGAACTTACAATACAGTTATATAAAAAGCAATAAAATATGTGTAAATTATATATATTATATAATACCTAAAATGTATTTTAATAACAACAGCGGCTTTCCTTTGGCCTGATTTTGATGCCTCGAGAAAAGTTAATTAATAAAAACAATATTGAATTGAATATTAATTATTATAATTTCATATTGAGTCTAAATCGCTTAAACCGATTCACACGACTAGAGTTAATACAGTTTTGGTAGGAATTAGTAATTATTTTCTAATTATTTTTATTTCTATTTGATATTAACAATAATTTTCGATCAATCACTTTAATAAAAATAATTCACCAAAGTTTAACATAAAACTTATAAAACATAAAATATAATTGTGTCTACCAATGGACTTATAAATAATAAATAAGTTACATTTTTATAAAATAAATTTTATTTCTAATAATTTTATATTTACTTTTCATATGATATTTAAAATAAAATAGTGAATTTATTTTTACTTAACGTTGTACGTTATAAAACTTAACAAGTTTTTAAATATGAATGCTTTATATTTGATACAAAAAATTATTAAATATTAAATGAATTATATTCTAAAACAATAGCCTTTTATATTGTATGATTTATAGTCTGGTATTAAGTATAAACTTTAATGTAAGATTAATTATATTATACTATATTATATAATATTGTGAGCAAAAAATACGTGTGATAATTAATATGAGAGAAAATTAATTGTAAATTACATAATAGTAAGCATATGGTGTGTTAAATGTAGTACACCTTCAGCACAGTTATACCTTAATATGTATTTAGTAATTGTATTAATTATAACACAATCTGCTCACAAAACCTTTAAATTTTTATATTATTTAGAAAGTTAGCACTAATTTTAAAAGTAATTTATTTCCTTTTAAAGCAGACTCTTATTAAAAAAGATATTTTACAGAAAAAGTTTTTTGAAAGTAAATTTAAAATATAAAATAATTTTTAAAGATCTCCCTCTCTCTCTCTCTCTCTCTCTCTCTCTCTCTACCGAAAGTAAATTAATTTTAAGAAAAAATATTAAAGATTTTATCTAATATCATAATAAAAAATTCAATTTTATATAGTACATGCACTGTATATAATTTCATACACAGTATTTGTATAATAACTTACGTTATATTGCATTTGGAAATTCCCTGATAAATTGTGTCCCCTTTTAAAAAGCATTTAATATGCGATTTCATAGCTCCGTATCTGACAAATAATCGCAACATGCTTATATTTATTTTAATCATAATTTTATTTGATGTGACATTTAATGTGATTTTCCAATAAATAAGAAAAAGAGTTAATTGATTACAAAAACTCATAATTAAAGAAATTTTAGTACTTATATGTTTTCGGGAAAGTTTTCCAATTAGCCTTTTAAAAAATTAAAAAATTTCGATAATTAGTTTATTGTTGTTTTTAGGATATTTTTGTTGTTATAATAAATTTGTTAGTAATTAATAATACTGAAAACAATACGATCGTCAATAACTTAGTATACGCCACATATGGTTACGAATTAAATAACAGAAATAAAAACATAACAAAGTTTTCAACACATTTGTAATGAACTTAATTAAGTATAGATTATTATTGGTTTTTATTTAATTGTAAGTGCTATATGTTATCTCACTCTTGAACTATTTTGCATATTTTATTCAATAATTTTATTTTCTTACAAGTTAGTATATTTATTTATTTACTAAAATTATAATGTAATAGCAATACTTGTACAAATAAATGCAAAATTCAGATAATAATATTAAATTAATTAATTTTTTAAGGTAAAAGACCGTACGATAAGGGTATCGGACCCACCGAAAGCAAACTGACCATGTATTTGAGTTTAGGGGAAGGTATGCATTGATTAATTAAATAAGTTGATTAATTTATAATATTAAAACTATTTTATTTATTAAATCAAATTTTAGGGTCACATAATTATCATCACTCGTTCCCAATGGTAAGTCATACACAATCATACATATGACTACAGTATATTAATTAAAGCATCAATGTATTAATGATTTAAAATGAGATAAACTTTTATATATTGTTTTTTGTTACTTAATTAATATAATTTCGCACAAAATACAAGTTTTTAATGATTTTAATTTCTCGTTTGACTCCAGGATTACGCGAATTGCGAGAAGAAATGGTGGGAAGTGTTCAATCCGTCCACACTATTCATCGACATCTGCGAGAAGTTAGGTCTGGCCTACGACCTCAAGAAGCCCTCCCATCAAGTCATTCAGGGGGTGATCCAGCGTAAGGGCGACCCCGAGTACTTTGAACGCAAACTCAAGCGCTCGCTGTGCACCCGCATATGCCTGGGTATTGTGGACTGGCATATGGGCCTATTGGTGGCACTCTGGGCCGTATGGTTGGCCGTCATATTCAAGTTCGCCACATTCAGACCTGTATTTGTCATCACCGATGATATCTACTGGCCCTAAGTCCTGGCGTAGTGTTCGGTTCAGGGAGTGTATGGGAGGGCAGGGGGACAACCACTTTACGTTTACAGTTAGGTGGGTGCCAAACTGGGCTTAAGTTATTAATTAGTGTCATATAATATAATATCAGTACATTATGAAATACAATAGACTATTTTGGTATTATTATATAAACTCATAATTACTTATAGATTGACCATGGTTAGTGCAAACCTTTTTAAAAGCTAATAGTGTATGGTTCCTGTCATTTCATACACTATTTTAGATATTTGTTAAGTTTGAATACATTATACAACTCTTAAATATATTATAATTGGATTTAAATGCTACAAATTCACTGCAAGTAATTATAATATATCATAATATGATAGATGCAATACCAAGCATTAAGTATTGTATGAAATGTTTAGTATTTTGTAATTTAGAATTAATTTTTATAATTTTATGTATTATTTTTTAAATTCATTGAAATGTATTGTTTTTAATCATTTTACATGATTTTTATGTTAATGAGATGCTCATTTATACTGTAACTTATTTAATAAAATTGTAAATCATTTGCATATTAATTCAATTTGTCTTATTAAGCGTTGCACTCTATGATAAAATTACTATAGATTAAATTTATATACTGTATTAGATATAATTTAAATATGAAAGCTTTTTTCATAGAGTATACTATAAAAATTTCATGCAAAAAAAAGTTTTAATTCAAATTAAGTGTCAATTAAAGTATAATGTTTGAAAAGCATTCATATACTGTATTAAAAGATTCATTTAATTTGATTAACTGTTAGGCTGACCGGTATGGCTGTGCTATGCAGTGAAGTGAAGCGCGTATCCGAAGGGGTTATAACTGATAACTGTATGAAAGCATTGATTTGTTGTTTGATTTGAATCGCAAAATGCAATGATTTATGCATTGATTGGATGACCGCATGAATGGATAGTTTAGTTGTCTTTAAAGTGTTAAACAAACATTTCATTGATTACATCATTCATTGATTATTGTGTGTTGAATGACACGTGAGATTTGATGATTAAATCAATGGATAGTTTTAATATCATTAAGAAGTTCCCGCAGTTGTATCAACTGAAAGGCAAATATATTTCCAACACCGCAAACATCAAACTGTTGGCTGTGTTGGGATCCGATGGCAGTGATGTCATCATTGTTACCAAAGATTATAATGTCTACTGTTTTGGTGTCAATCGATACGGAAGACTAGGTCTGGGAGTGGGAAATGATGTCCACTTCGAGAGACCACAACTGAACGGAAGTCTTTCGGGCAAAGGATTGTCGAAAATCATCTATGGTTTGGGTCACTGTATAGGACTGACCACAAGTGGACAGTGCTATGGATGGGGACATAATCATTGCGGACAACTCGGCACCGGATCCACTCGAGACATGTCTACACCACAGCTCATACAAGTGTTGAGTAATAAATCCAAACCCAAGAAGATAATTGGCGTTTGTTGTGGTGATAATCACACCCTTTGGTTAACCTTCGATGGGTTGGTGTACGGCTCGGGTGGCAATGATTGCGGACAAACCGGTGCTGAAAGTAATGAAAACCTTTCGGTTCCCACGAGAGTCGCAATCGACGAGGAGATCACTTTCATATCTTGTGGTCACAACCACTCGACAGCCCTATCAGTGACCGGCAAAGTGTATGCCTGGGGAAGTAATGGCAGCAAACAATTGGGTCACTGTATACCTCATGGCCAGACATACAGTAGGTCTCCCCGAGAGGTGTATTGCTATGATAACAAATTTAGACTCCGATTCTGGAGAGCCATTTGTGGGCCAAACCATACGGTGCTGATCGCAGATAATAACCGACTCTATACTTATGGCTACAGCTCTTGGAAACCAGTTGATAGATACGACCATTCATTCAATGCCATCGATCCTGGTATTGACCGACAAACGCGATTCAAATATATTAACACTACATATGATAATAATGTGGTGATTGTCACCGCATTTAATTACAAACACTATATTCTGGGCAAAGAAGATAATCGCACTACTTTTAGACCCATTGACATACCGGTGCCATCGACTGGTTTCTCTTTATTCAACATTTACGCCAAATTCTGTGGATTTGATATGACTTTTGAATCAATTGCTGAACAAATGAAAACTTTCAAATCAATGGACACATCGATTGCTGCGAAACCAATTGCTTGCGATTATAACGACTGGAATAATGATTCAAATGATAAGTACAGCGCAGAAGATGGCTATTCAGAGATATATATGTCTGATGTGGAGGAATCAGATGTAGAAAATCTACCAAAAGTGTTTAAAAATACCACATCACAGACCACGCAGTCATTTGCATCCGATTTATACCTTTTGGATCCGCTATTAAATAAGGATTTGCCACAAAAGAGTGATTCTGATGAGAATGATGTATCAACTGATCCAATAACTCATTCAATGAATAGTTACATTTGTGACAAACAATGTCACGATTCAGATGTCCTCAGGAGTGAAGATAATATCACATCTAATGACTCAATGACTAGTGAATTGAGTTGTAATCCAATTATTCGGTAAACGATTATTTTATTACTTTGTATTTGTTTGCAATTTATTCATTCATTTTATTTTTTTCAGACGATTTCACCGACAATTTTCGGAAGCCTTTAACAATCCATTTGATTCCGACCTCACATTTAAAGTGCAAAACAAATTCATTTATTGTAATAAATCTGTTCTGAAGATTCAAAACAAGAAGTTTTGGGAAACAGAATGTCAACAGAATTTGATGAATGAGAATGAGATCCATATTAAGAGCTATTCTTATGAGACATTTGTATCACTTCTCATGTATTTCTATGGACTCACTCCCGAAGTCAATGACAACAACTGCACACAACTCTTAAAGTTGGCCAAAGAATACGGGGAACTGGAGCTCAAAGACCTGTGTTTCCAATATTTAACAAAATACGGTATAAATAACATCATGTAGAATTTTTGAATTCCGTATAAATTTATTTGCAATTAATATCGATAATGAATATAAATTTAAAATTCCGAATTAAAAATAATACACATTAATCATGGATTAAAATACCTTTGTACACTATCTTGGACAGTATGTGTCCAAATATTTTTTATATTCAAAAATGTACGGTAACAGAAATATTGTACTAATTATAATCTTAGACTTAAAATAAGCGCTATTAATATACTGTACATGTATAAATTAATAAACGTTTAAATGTAAATTTAATTAAAATTATTAAAATGAAAGGGACTATTAGTAAAATTATTATTTATATGAGATTTGATACCTTTTTATAACAGTATTTATTACAGTGTTAGCTAGAAGTATTTCACCTTGACATTCAAGTATTTGAGGTTCCTGTCAAGTATCAAGGGAAAGTGTAATACTTGACATTATAATGTCAAGTATTTGAAAATCTGCTATAATTAATGTATATTTTTCATAAAATTATGTTAAAAATAAAATATTAAATCATTTATATCATTTCATATAATAAAAATAATTAACTTAATAAAACTATTAAATAAAAATTTCAAAATACAACTATCAAATAACAATTTATATCATTTTCCATATAAAACATGGTCGATGAGTAGTGGTTCCAGTATTGATCCAATTTTGCGGTAAATGTATTAAATACTGTTATTTGAGTGCATTTTATTGTTTTAATATTTATTTTCAGACGATTTCAAAAACATTTGACGGAAGCGTTTAATAATCCCTCGGAATCTAACATAAGATTTCATATAAACGATAAATTCATTTATTGTCACAAATCTATACTTAAGATTCAAAACAAGAAGTTTTGGGAAACAGAATGTCAACAGAATTTGATGAATGAGAATGAGATCCATATTAAGAGCTATTCTTATGAGACATTTGTATCACTTCTCATGTATTTCTATGGACTCACTCCCGAAGTCAATGACCGCAACTGCACTCAACTGCTAAAGTTGGCCAAAGAATACGGGGAACAGGAGCTCAAAGTTGTGTGTTTCCAACACTTGTCTCAATATACGAAAATGAATTGATTTGAATTACATTTTGTTTTAGCTATTTGTCTATTTATAAAACCTTATCTTCATTTAAAAACTTTTTTCTTGTTTTTACAGAATTTCTTAACTTACGAGTAAATTCTGTTTTAAAATACTATTCATTTCCACTGTTGTATACATTTACATGAATTCATAATTACATTTAGTACTATTTTCTGTGATAACATATTACCAGTAATATATAAAATATTAAAAATTGATTTTAAAATCCAAAATAAATGTTATTTTACTTCTTATTTGAGTCAATCTTTTGTTCAAAATGTGCGCTAAAAATGTGTTGAAAAATAAATTTCGGTTTTATTTACAGTTTGTCTCCTCTTGTAAGACACAAATCACCAAAAGTTTGTGCTTTTCATTGATAATTGAGTTTTAATTTCACTGTCAAAGTAACCATGACTTCATCTGTGGATCAGTTGACAGTCATCAAGAAGTTTAAGTCATTGAAGCCATTGATGAGCGACGAGAGGCTGAAGACACGCGTCCGACTGTTATGTGTCTTCGGGTTCAACGGATCCGAAGTGATCTTCGCCACCAATGATGACGAGGTGTACTGCTATGGAGCCAATAGTTACGGATGTCTTGGATTGGGTGTCGATCACAAACACATATCTAATCCCACAATCAATACCACACTTTCGGGCAAAGGATTGGCTAATATATACGTCGGGTTCGCCCACTGTATGGGACTGACCACCGATGGACAGTGCTATGGATGGGGTGATAACAGTTACGGACAGTTAGGCATCGGTTCCAAGAGTGACTCTAATTACCCTCAACTGATTCAACGATTGGGTGACCATAAAGTGGTGGACATCGCTTGTGGTAATAGCTTTACGTTAGCGCTGACCATCGATGGACGGGTGTATGGCTTCGGTCGCAACTTAATGGGCCAATTGGGAGACGAGTCACTGGTCTCTCGTATGCA